TAGATAGATAGATAGATAGATAGATAGATAGATAGATAGATAGATAGATAGATAGGTGGATGGATGGAAATAAAGAAAGGAGATAATTAACGGAGGGGAGGTTAGAGTTCAAGGGATTAACAAAAGATTCTCAAAGAAGGTGGAATTTTAGCTGGCACTTAAAGGAAAACAGGAAAGCTAGGAGGCAGAGATGAAGAGAGAGAGCATTTTAGACATAGAGGACAACTAGTGAAAATGACCAGAATTAGGAGATGAAGTGTGATGTGTAACAGCAAGAAGGTCAATGTCATTGGACCACACAACATATAGGGGCAAGCAAGGTATGAAAAGATTGGAGAAGTAGGAAGGGGCCAGGTTATGGAGGGCTCTGAATGCCAGACCTGGAGAAGAGAAGACATTGAGGGCGATCACATGGTAGTGGAATTAGGCATAATCATCTTGGCCCAGGTAGGCTGAACCAGGAGCAATGGGAAGCAGTTGGAGAAGTAAGGTTGAATTTGATGTAAAGAAGAAATTCCTAATGATTAGAGCTGTGCCAAGAGTGAAGCGGCTGCCTTTGGAGGTAGTCAATCCTGTCTCATGGGAAATCTTCAGCCAAAACATGGATGACCACTGGCCAAGTATGCTGTAGAGTGGATCTTTGTTTGTGTACTCATGGAACAGATAGACAATGAAGTCCCTTTCAACTCCCATGTAAACCCTAAATCTATCTAGAATGTTGTCCCCACTCATCCCTGACTCCTGGCTTTCCTCAAGACTGCTCCAATCCCACCTTCTGCAGGGAGCCTTTCTGAATCCATACACATACACTTATCCCTCCCCATGTTAGTGTCTTCCATTTGAGATTACTTTCCAATCACCCTTATATCTTATACGTACAACTTGGTGCACATTGTCATCCCCATTAGACTGTGGGGTTCCTCAAGGGCAGAGGTTGCATGTCTGCCTTTCTTTATATCTCTGGTATTTAGCACAGTGCCGGACATATAGCAAGTGTCTAATAAATGCTGGTTGACTGACTGATTCTGCTCAAGGTTAAACATCCCCAAATCCTTTGACTGATCCAGATGTTAAGGAATGGTGAAAGGGGAACAGAGGAAAAGAAGGGGAATATTCTGCCACCCCTTCTCCCTCTTATTGAATACCATATCTGTGAAACCCTGACAAAGTGACCCAAGAGTGTGAGATCCTACATGGGACTTATGTGAAGCCAGCGCTAATGGTGGAATCAATCAACACTGGTTCTTGGGGAGCTTTTCTCTCTCACTGATGAGCTAAGCAATCGTTTTCAGTGCCTGCTTAGGTTGCTGTTGACAACACAGCATGAGAAGTTTTAATGAGGCTGAGAGGGGAGAAGGAAGATATTCAGGGAGAGATTCATGTGGGGCACAACTCTAAAATGCCACATTCATTTTAATTCTCTTTACCTGTGATCTCTTCAAAGATGGCATGGAACCCATCAAAGTTCTTAGAGCCATCTGACTGGAAGAGGATGTGGAGGGAGGGCCCGGTGCTTTGAATGGGGGCTGGCCGCTCATTCCCACAGAAGCGTTTGATTATCCTGCTGTCACTGTTGTCCCCATCTCGGACCTCAACATAGTCATATTGGCACATGTAGTCAAATTCCAGGCTTAACATAACAAACCTGGAAACAGAGACAGGAAGGGGAGAAGATGACATTGGAGGCAACACTGAACAGGACCAGGGGACTTACAGGCTCATGAGATTGAGAGGTGGAAGGGGTCTTCAAGATTAAATAATCATAGGAACATAGATTTATCCACTGACAGGTACTTATTCAGTGCCTATAATGGGCCAGGCATTGCCCTAGTCCCTGGGATTCAAAACCAAAAATAAACAGTCACTACTCTCAAGAATCTTACATTTTCTTGAGGAGATGATATATATGTATATAAGTACACACATAATAAAGACAAAATAAATACAAGGTGATTTTTTTTTTCTCGATGAGTAGTAGGATACTAGCAGTAGTAGTAGGGAGCTCAGGAAAGCCTCCATGATAGTGGCATTTGAGCTGAATCTTAAAGGAAATTCTAAGAGATGGAGACAAGGGGGGAGTGTGTTCAAGTCAAAGACAGGAGGGGTATTAAGTGACCTTAAGGGTTATCTAGACCAGTAATCTCAATCTCAAAGAGAAACAGAGCCAGTCAACTGTACCACGCAGCAAAATCAACTCAGAGAATCACATATTAACATTATCTGTCTGTCTATCTATCTATCTATCTATCTATCTATCTATCTATCTATCTATCTATCTATCTATCCATCATAGATACGGTTACATATTGTACATATAATCATTATATAATGGATGTACACATATATTATTATTATTATTATTATGTGTTAAATTATATATGATGTTCTATTATATTTGTCGGGGCAGCTAAGTGGTGCAGTGGATAGAGTGCCAGACCTGAAGTCAGGAAGACTCTTCCTTATTTCAAATATGGCCTCAGATACTTACTAGCTGTATTATCCTGGGCAAGCCACTTAATCCTGCTTGCCTCAGTTTCCTCATCTGTAAAATGAGCTGGAGAAGGAAATGACAAACCACTCCAGTACCATTGCCAAGAAAATCCCAAATAGGATCATGAAGAGTCAGACATGACTGAAACAAATGAACATCATTGTATTTGTGCTTATTTTATTAAATATTTCCTAGTTACATTTTAATCTGGTCCAGGTGCTGGACAAGTGTTTTAAACCTCTGATCCAGGCCAACCCCTTCATTTTGAAGTTAGAGAAGCTGAAAGTCAAGAGGTTAAAGATAAGTTACCCAAGATCACATGAGTACCAAGTGTCAGAGCCAGGATTTGAACCTGATTTCTCTGACTCCAAATCTAGCATTCTTACAGCACTATATTGCCTCCCCAATTCTTTCATCTCATAAGTGAGGAAATTGAGGAAGAGAGAGGGGACATGGGCACAATGGTGCTGACTAGCAGAGCCTGAGCTCAGACCCACATTCTCTGACTCAAAATCCAGGCCTCTTTCTATGCCTTTTCAGAGAATCCAAGATTCACAGAGTGGGGAGAGACATTGGAAACTATCAGTGAAACCCCTGCTTCTATCAATACCACCAGGAGCTTGGCTAATGGAAATGGAAACATTTAGAAAGAAGACACATATATCTCACAGCTACATAAAGAAGAGGCAGCCACATGGCGGTGAGGGAGAGAGAGTAAAGGGGCCGACCTGACAGGAGACAGAAGCCTTCAGACCTGGAAGGTTGCCAGACTTCAAGATGGAAACTTTTAATGCTCACCACTCAAGACTTCTGAGCATTCTCGGGGAACCAAGCGGATAAGAGTCACCACCTGGAAGGTGGTGTCAGTTCTATCTGTAAACATGTCTGCTATGGGAGATAAAAAGCATGGAATTGTCTAGAACTCAATGTAACCCTAGAGCTTGTTTAACCACCTCATGTTTACAGAGGAGGAATCTCAGCTGAAGAGAAGGTAAAGGATTAGCACACAGTTATCTAGTGGTAGTGTCCAGTCTATAATACTGGACATCTTGACACTCTTTTACCTCTCATATATGTAGAGGGAAATTTCCCTATGGTTTCCACTGTCCTCCAACGGGTCAGAAAACTCCATGGCCAAGGTCAACAGCTACTGTCAGACTCCTTTGTCACAGTCCTCCCCTTACCCATTCTTGTAAATCAGACAAATCTTGGTCTTTATCAGACTCACTTGAACCTGTAGAAATGGCACGATGTCCTGCATGCACCATCCCTACCACCACCACCACCACCTTGACGCAAACATACATTCATCACCTAGACAATAAGACATTAATACGTAAAATGTTCAGCAAACTTCTGAGAGCTATGTGAACATTAGCTATTATTGCTGGTGGAGAGAATTCCTCACTGGGAGTGCCCTATACCAATGAATCACAGTTCTGGGCCAGTAATAATAATGGTGATTATCATTATTATTACTCTTGTTTTTAGCACTTAAAGGTTTATGAGAAATGAGGAAACTGACATTCATAAAGGTTCAGTGACTAACTCAGAGTTATACATAGCGAGTAAATATGAGAATCAGAAAATCTGGGTTCAATTCCTAATTCTAGAACTGGGGCTCTTTCTCTCAATCTTTCTACGTTGACCTTACAGTACAGGCATCTTAGAGAAGTAGAAAGATACGGAGAGTTGAGAGCTAGACTTAGACTTGACATCAGAAAGGCTTGAGTTTGAATCCTGAACTAATACTTGCTAGTTGTGTGACCATGGGTAAGTCACCATGGATAAGGACCTAAGCTTCAAGTTCTTCATTTGTAAAAAAGGAATAATGATGCCTGAGATACTTACCTCACATGATTTTTGTGAGGATAAAATGAGAGAAAGCACATAAAGTGTTACATAAAGGTCAGCTCTCATCACCCACATCACCAACACTGAAGCTCCCATCACTTATGGTATACAAAGTGCTTTCCTCACCATAATGCTGTAAAAGAGGGAAGAAGTATTGCACTTACACTAATTTCATTCCCAGTTTAGTGATTCTCATTCCCACACACAGCTACTAAATATCAGAGGACTTGAACCCAGAATTCCTATCTTCAAAGCCAGTTTTCTTTCCATGATTCCATGCTGCCTCTATTTCCCATGCTCTCTCATCTCAACCAGACCACAAGCCCCTACTAGTTATCATCTGTAGCATCTTCTTGCTTTCTTTGACTGTATCAAACTAGGCAAGGCGCAGTTGAGAACAATGTCAATTATGTTTTCCACAGAAAGACAAACGTTTAGAATGCCAGGGATGTCAGAGGATTTGAAGCAATGGTTGTGCTGTGGCAAGCTACATAACCAAAGAGGGACAGGAAGCAAACCACAAAGTACTTGAGGGGAGGGGGAGGGGGAACCATGGCTTAAAAGAGAAAACACAAGCCACCAAAAAACTTAAACTTTGGCTAACAGCCAGCACCTAAGGTCCTCTCTGATGATGGCTCTGTCCCTTTCATTTAATTTAGAAATGAAACAGAAATCCTTCTGAGACAGCTGCCTTTCTGCACAGTGAGAATGTCCCCATCTGCTCCTCGTGGGATTTGGAGATAAGTAACTACCAAACCAAAATGAGGCTTAAGAGGTATATGGAGAAGCCACCAGGAATGAAAAGAATGGAGGCCAGGGCCATTCCAGGTATCCCCCTACCCTCCCTGAGATGTGCCAGCAGCCTGGGAAAGGAGACATCATCTATTACCAAACAACAAAAAATGGAGGTAAAGACTCTAGGAAGAAGATAAATAACCTAGAAACTCCAGGATGCATGTATCAACCCAGCTTGCTACGCTGGGCTCCCAAAGGAGGTACAGCCAGTGGAAGCTTGATTTACTTTTGGCAAGGGCTGGCAATATTACAGTCATTAATGAAAATGGAAAGGTGCTTTCTCAATCATACACCAATACACACACACACACACACACACACACACACACACACACACACACACACACAGAACATTTGCTACCTATGTTTTGCAAGCATGGATATTCTAGATCTCTAAAAGGAGACAGAGAATTATGCTGCTTCTGCACCAGTTCTTTAGCCAACAGGAGCCAAGGTCTCCACACTTTCAGTCCTTGAGCCAGAGACAATGAAAACAATATCTACTTATCTATACCAGGGCTTAGTTTAGTGCTCAGTCAGCACTTAATGAATGCTTATTGACTTAGATTCACTTGATCATGTTCTATATGTTGGTGCCATACATCCATATGATTAGATTGCACAGTGTATTACAATGGAAGGAGTATAGGATTTGGAATTAGAAGACCTGGGCTTCTCGAACACCAAAGAAGATATGGCACAGGGCCCTGCTGGCTCCTTTTGCTTTGGTCTCTCAAGTTGGTGATAAATTGACATGCAGTTTTTAACATCTGCCCTTACTATCACCCAGCAGGTTCAGCCTCTTGCATGTTAGGCACAGTGGGGCAGCCCAGCCTTCTGCAGTGTGAACCAGCTAACCCCACCACTGCCTGTTCCCTGACCTAAACTGCCACTCTCAGACCAGCTCAGTAAAATGGGGTGAAAAGCCAAGGCGCTCCAGGATGCTGATTGAGTGAGTGAGGTAGGATCTGGGATCCAAGATGTAAAGGTGGAAGAGATTTCAGGAGGCCATTCAGGGAGGAAGTTGACTCCCCCTTATTTTACAAATGAAGTAACAGAGGCCCAGAGAAGTAAGTGATTTGCCTAAGATCACACAGCTAGTAAGTAGCTAAGGTAGGATTTGAACCCAAATCTTTTGACTCAAAATGCAGTTCCCCCTTTTAACTGCACTATACTAACAGGATCTGCTTTGCCTATTAGCTGTCTGCTTATTCCAAGGCACAGACCATCACCCTTCCTAGAGAGAACACAGGAGAGAGATTTTTGCCCATATCTTGAAATGGAGAAGAGGCATAGGGAAAGTGAATGACTCTATAGAAACTTATCATCTGAGCCTAAGAAACTGGAGACTTGTTGGCTATGTTACCAAACCATGAGGATTGGCAAGGGGATAGAGACAGAGAAAAACAGAGAGAGAGAGAGAGAGAGAGAGAGAGAGAGAGAGAGAGAGAGAGAAACAGAGAGAGACAGAGAGAGACAGAGACAGAGAGACAGAGAGAAACAGAGACACAGAGAGAGAAACAGAGACACAGAGAGAGAGACAGAGAAAGAGAGAAGGAATAACAGAGAGAAATGGAAACAGAGACATGAGCTTTCCTACCCCACCAATCTCCATTCATCTTCCCTTGTTGAGTGACAAGGAGCATGAGGCTGACATAGGGCTCATAAAAGCCTCTTCCAGGTGAGCCCTTGTACGCAGAATTATGACACTGTAGAGCATGACATAGAGGCAAGTAGGTGGAAAGGTGGATAGAGCACTGGACCTAGAGTCAAGAAGCCTTGAGTTCAAATCTGACCTCAGACACTTACTAGCTATGTGACCCTGGACAAGTCATTGTACCTCTACCCGACTCAGTTTCCTGTTCTGAAAAATAAGAATAATAATAGCACCTACTTCCCATTAAAATTAAATAATTTTGGTAAAGCACTTTGCAAACCTTGAAGTGCTATATAAATTCTAGCTATTATTATTATTATTATTACTATTGTTATTAGTCGACAGAGTATTGGACCTGGAGTCAGGAAGACCTGGGTTTAAATACTACCTTATATATCTACCAGCTACATGACCCTAAGCAAGCAATGTCCTCTTTCCAAGCCTCAACATCCTCCTCTGTAAAAAGGGTATGAGAATAGCACTTACCTTGCCTATTATGAAAATCAAGTTAGATAATGTGGGTAAACTGCTTTACAGACTTTAAATGTCAGCTATGGTTATTATCAGCATTGCAATCATCAGTAATAGTGGCTCCTTCCTTCATTTCCACTTTTTTCCTTCCCTTTTTAATAAAACTTTCTTCTGTATTATTATGAATTGTGTGTTCACAGGTGGGAAGTTGGTCTCCATCTATTGGAGGTTAGAATGCTTGCATGTTCTCAGGTTGGGGGGGGGGCAGGAAGTGAAAAAATACCCCAAAATGTCTGTTTTATCATGAGAGGCCATGCCTAGTGAAGTCAGAGGACCAATGCCAAGGAGAATTTAAACCATAAAATCACAGGGAATGAGAGGAGGGTTCAATACATATTATCTTCATAGTTGCTAAGATCCTGGTGGGAATGGTCCATTCCCTGGGGCCACTAGGCTCAAGGTCCACTGTTTCCTTCTCCTTGGCCATCAATTGCTTCTCTGCATCTTTGGGCTTCAGAAATTTGCCCCTGATTTCGTACCTTAGTTGGATGATGAATCCAGGCTTGGCATGGATGGTCCACTCACAGTGAGCATTCAGGGGGTAACTTTCTAGTAGAATCTGTCCTTTGGGGGCCTGAAGGACTTGGCCACACCCTGGAAAGAGAAAGTAGAAATTATATAAGGTGATGAGCCATAGACAAGTTATTTGTAGGAAAGCAGAGTAGAATGAGGAAGAGAAGGGGGGGGTCATCACAATTCATATTAAAGAGCTCTTCCCTTGCAATATCACTGAGAGGTAAGCAATGCAAATATTGTGGACTTACCTGAGCCTGTTTCCCCATCTGCAAAATGGGGATGAATGACTTGTCCGAAGTCATAGATAGAGCGAGTAAATGGGATCCTAGGATTTGAAGCTAGAATCTTAAAGATTATTTAATTCAGCCCTCTCATTTTACAGAAAAAGGAACTAATTAAGGCTTAGGGAGGTTAAGTCATTTGACCAAGGTCATCCAGCTACCAAGTGGCAGATCTGGACCTCAAATCCAAGGCCTTTCCCACCACTACCATGCTTTGCCTAGAGGCAGCTAGGTGATGCAGTGGAGTGCTGGTCTTAGAGTCAGGAAGACCTGAGTTCAAATCCTACCCCAGATACTTACTAGCTATGTGACCTTGGGCAAGTCACTTAATCTATGTTTGCCTCAGTTTCCTCAACTGTAAAATGGGGGTAATAATAGTACTATTTCTCAAGGATATTGTGAGTCAAGGATGAGATAATATTTGTAAAGTGTTTGGCATGTTGTAAGTGCTTAATTTCCTCCCTCCCTGTTGGAAAGGGCCTCAGAGGGTCCATCCATACCAGAACAACAATCCTATCTATATCATTCCCAAAGAGCAGTAATCCGGTTGCACTTGTTGACCTACCATCATAGACAACCCACAAATTACAGAGGCAATCCCTTACTCCACTTTGGAATAGCTGTAATTACTAGGTCTTTTCCCCCTTTTTAGTGAGCTAAAAATAGTAGCCCTGTAACTTCCACTTGTTGGCCTTAGTTCTTCTCTCTGGGATCAAGGAAAACAATGCCACTTTTTTCCCCACTGGACAACCATTTGGCTTTTTTTTTTTGGTGAGGCAATTGAGGTTAGGTGACTTGCCCAGGGTCACACAGTTAGTAAATGTCAAGTGTCTGGTCTGAGGCTGGATTTGAACTCAGCTCTTCCTGATCATAGGAGCAGTCCTCTATCTGAGCCACCTAGCTGTCTCACTCTTCAGCTATTTTAAGGCAGCCATCATCTTCCCCTCCATCCCTATCCGCAAGCCTTCTCCAGGCTAACCATCCCCAGATCCTTCAGTTCAAGGCTGGTAAGGCCCCTACAGCCTCATCATCTTGGCCCCTCTTATCCTCAGAATGCACACCTATTTGCCAATCTCCTTCTTAGAATTTGCTTTACTGTGTGATAGAATCCTCCAGTTGTGTGCCCTCACCAGGGTAGAGGGCACCATGAACACAGAGGTCTTCTGCAGACACTTAGGAGCTGTTATGGGCTAAGCGTAGAAGTCTCTGCTTACAGACAACAATGTATAATCAACAGCAGCATCATGACCATAATATTCACTTCAGGTTGTGGACATTTGGTAGGTGATGAGATTATTCTGAGCCTCTCAGAGCCTCAGTTTTTTCTTCTGAAAAATAGGGCTAGATGCCCAAGGTCATACATCTAGGGACTGGCATCATAAATGGTGCACAATGTACCAACCTGACCTAGAGGTCAAAAAAATCTATCAAATGCCCAGCCAGACATGACTTGGTGGCTAGAGTTACAGACAGCAGAAATTCACTATCTTTCTAAAATGAACAGAAAAACAAAAGCCCATACCAGAAACATAAACCTCAAAATGCCCTAGATAATTTAACAAATAAATTGTCATAGAACTGGAGCATCATCTCAGATGAAACTGTTGCCCATAACCACCCATACACAAAATAAAGATAAATGATGTTTTCATAGTCATACAGGATAATGGAGGAGCCATGGGATCTGAAGCTGGGAAGGATCTTGGAGATATGGTCCCCCTTTTCCCCTCTGACACTGCCTCCATTCTAGTGCTGGCTCTCATCACCTCACACCTGGAATGTTACTGGGGGATCTGCCTGCCTCAAGTCTCTCCCCACTCCAATGCATCCTCCATTTCAAATGATTGTCCTAAAGCACAGGTCCAAACATGTCTCCCCTACTCAATAAACTCCAGTGACTCCCTATTGCCTCTAGGAGCAAATGCAAAATCCTTTGCTTAGCATTCAAAGTCCTTCATAACCAGCCCCCCTTTCCAGTGTTCTTAGACCTTACTCCCTACCATGTAGTCTTCATGGCCTCCAGGCTGTTCCATTACCAAGACACTCCATCTCTCATCTCTGGGCATTCTCTCGGGCTGTCCCTCATGCCTGGAATGCTCTCTCTCTTCATCTCTGCCTACTGGCTATCCTGGCTTCCTTTAAGTCCCAGCTACAATTCCATCTTCTGCAAGAAGTCTTTCCCAATTCTTCTTAATTCTAGAGCCTTCTCTCTGTTAATTACTTCCTACTTATCCTGTATATAGCTTGCTTTGCATATACTTGTTTGCCTGTTGTTTCCCCCATTAGAGTGCAAGCTCCTTGAGGGCAGGGATTGTCCAGTGTGTCTTTTTGTAGCTTAGCACAGCAACTGACACATAGTGGCATTAAATAAATGCTTATTGATAGACTGGCAAATTCTTTGTGCCTCAACTATAAAATAATGGGGTTGGGCTCCATAGTTCCTAAGGTCCCTTTCGGCTCAAGAGAGCTAACATTTTTACATCGCCTTAAGGTTGGCAAAACATTTTCTATATGTCTCCTCATTTGATTCTTAAAATAATGCTGTGAGGAAGGTACAACTGTTATCTCTGCTCTCATGATCCCTTGTTTTGCAGAAAAGGAAACTGAGGTACAGAGAAGAATGAAATCAGGGTACTGAGTTTCATTTAGGATTTTATGAACCAGTCAGTACCACCTCTCTCCTCTTCCAATACACACACAGAAGAAGTAAGATTTCCCACCCCATGGGACAGGCTTGAGCGAACCTCCTCATTAAAAACAAAACTCATTTTCATTCCTCTCCCTGGACAAGTCTCATTCATCATTCCTCCCCTGTCTGTTATGATGCTTGTGAAATGAGATGCCACAAAAAGGACAAAACAAAATGCTTCTCAGACACATTTGGCCCCCTTAGAAGCTGGCAGCTCCACCAGAGCCCAAGTCCACAAACACCAGCTCTCCCTGCAAACCTACTAGAAATGGGGACGTGGGGAAAAAGAGCCAGAGTTAGAGTCAGAGGACCAGGGGCCAAATCCTGATGTTTCTACTTGCCTCCTTGTATAACCTTGGGAATCTCATTTAGCCTCTTTGGACCTCAGGTTCTTCATTTGTAAAATGGGGGGATTGGACTAAATGATCTTTGATGTCCCCTCTCTGATTTAAATTGATGTTTTGCTAGGAGTTGTGGATATTTTCCACTTTGGTCCTCTAAGATACAAAGCTACATCACCTAGAAACACCTCTGCTCTCCCAAATCCAGGAATCAACTATTGCAGAAGTCCAGGCAAGAGGGGGTGAGGCAAAGAGGCAAGGTTTGACATCCGGTCCAAGAATGGAATAGGTTGGTGAGTTCTCTCTTGCTGGCTGTGTTTAAGCAGAGGCTGGACAGTTACTTGTTAAGTATGTGATCATGGGGCATTCTTTTTAAGTATGTGTTGAACTTGTTGGCCACCGACGTCCCTTCCAACTAAATTCTGTGTTAGGTCAGGGGCCATGGAAATATAGAAAAGGGAACAGATGAGAGATGCTATGGGCTTAGAATCTCCAAGATGTGCCAGCTGATTGGTCATGGGAGCTGAAGGAGAGCATGGAGTTGAAAATGACTCCAAGCTTGGGAACTGGGATGAGTAGAAGCATGGGAGAAGTGGGGAGACAGTCAAACCTAAGTTCTCTGACTCCAAATCTGGCATTCTTCCTCCTATAATACCACTGCCCCTGTCCATGCCATTAAGATGCAGCCCTGATTCTGGAGCCTACCGCAATCCTCCTTCCCACACTGAAGGGGAGGGAAAACCTGGCCCAGAGATTGGTGGCAGCTTCCAAGCAATCCGAGACAAAGAAGCTACTTCTTGGAAATGGGCTGGATGCAAGAGGGTGTTGGATGCTGTAGACCACGAGGTGTTTATGTGTGTGTGTGTCAGGGGGTGGATTCACTCAGAGAGAATCTCCCTTTTATTTTTATTTTGGACAGCTCCTTTAGAGGAGGGTACTATTTGTACCCTCCTTCCCTCTTCAAGAGACGGGAAAGGTCAGGAGTTTGGGGAGCCCTGAACGTGGAGGCGAAGGGCATACTAACCACCTTTCTGTTGAGAGCTGAACAGTGAAAACAGCCTGTGTGTCCTTGCCAAGGAAGTACCAGTGGCCAACCAAGCAGGTGGTCCTGAGTCTGAAGGGAACTCTTGGATAAGTGCCTTGGAGGACATGCTCAGATTTACTAATGATCACTTGCTTTAGAAAGCGGGGACGCTTTCTGGAGTGAGAAGGAAAAACTCCCCTTGCTCTTACATCTTACATCCTTACACTCGCTCTTACATTCTCCATTCCCAAGGAAGAGGGATAGCCCAACATCTTCCCTCCCCTATACAAATTAAAAAATGCTCATCCCATCTCATTTCCAAGACAACTATAGGACTGGAAAGGTTCCCAACACAAGTTTACACCCACAGCAATCAGCAAGATTTTGACTCTCTCTTCCTTTGGGTAGAAAAAAAAGGAGACAGAGAGACACAACACACTTCTGCAGAGTATTTTTACATCTTTCTTCTCAAAAAGAAAAGGGGAAAAAACCACAACCCCCCGGAATTTTTAGAAAAGGAAGTCTGTTAGACTGAGTGGAATTTAAAGAAGATAGAAAAAGTCAGCCTCAATCCTTGGGGTTTTTTCCTGATCCAGGAGTTCCTTCTAGTAAGACATAGAGGAACAAAGTTGGAGTTCTACAACCCAGGAAGTCTTGTGGCCATTCTATGTCAAGGAGAGACTAACTCAAGGATTTATTCATCAAGCATTTATTTAGCACCTGCTGTGTTCAAGGTTCTGCAC